TATTATTATTATTATTATTATTATTATTATTATTATTATTATTATTATTATTATGCAACTTCTAATAAAACAGTTCTATTGAGCTGATATACTTGGCCAACAAAACAAATAAATTAATAACATACTGTATAAGGAAGACTCTACAATGGAAACTTTCTAGTATGAATGTATCATCTCTTTATACAACAAAGGGAATATTTGTATAACTTTTTTCTAACATAGTGTTTGTATTTAATTACAGTCATTTGAGATTTTTTGAGCAGGTAAAATGTCATTATTTTGCTAATCTACAATATGTCACTAGGGAAAGAGGATTACAGCAGCATTTTCCATGCTGTAATATAGGCCTAAATACAGCATAGAAGATAGGTGATGTAAATTATTGTCTATCAGATGATACAACTCGTTATCATTATGTAGAAAAATAAAAAGCAGGGAGAATGTTTTCTCAGACCAATTATTCCTTTCAAAATAAACATCTTAAAAAATTCAGAAAAAGATAGAATAACAATTCAATAAGCATCTTAATAATTACTTTAATTCTAATGCTTAAGACCTTAAGGTCTTAAGAATTCTTGACTAAACTGTCAAAACACAGGTAAGTATATTTATAAATTTTGTTTTAAAAAGTCACAATTAGTTTCTAACTAGATAATTAGACAAAGATATTATTGTGCAATAATGTCTAAACTTGTCCTTAATTTCCATATTCATATAAAGGGCCTAATATCAAACAGGAATTAATCACCAGGCCTTCCCATGATAAAGAGCTTGGAACAATTACTGAATTAAAACAGCATGGATTAACCAATCCAATTCTTTAAGAATCACCAGATCTTTCTTTTTCCAACAAACACCATTTTAAAATTTAGGGAATTTTATTTCACAATTAAATCATGAACAAAATCTTTCTAGATTAAAAAAAAAGGTACATTGTCAAAAAATAGTTGAAACAGAACTAGATGAGCCTATAAAGATTTTGAGAACAAGTTACTTTATATTTGAAAAAAGTAAAAGTGAAGATAAATGTGTTGCTATTCAAAAAATATTGAGTAACTATCGATAAATCTATCATGGCAGGAAAATTCTTCAGTCAATTTGAATTTTTTGAATATCTTTGGTATACATTCACAATGGATATAAACAATAATCAGATAATCAAATTAACACACTAAATAGGTAGTCGCATTTGAGGTCTCCAGACCTTACTAGCAAATGAGAGATAATGTAAAAAAAAAAACCCCAAAGGAAATGGGAAGTTCACTGAAGGCTAGTTGTCAAAAGCTGTGATATTTGCAGTTTGGTCAAATGGTTAAGACACCAGGCTAGAAAGTAGGAGACCACAAGTTCAAGTCCCGCTTAGCCATGAAAGCCAACTGGGTGACCTTGGGCCATCACGCAATCCAGCTCACTTCTTAAGTTTGTAAGTAAGTATGATATATTTATTTTCAGAATATTGTCTTATAGATGAAGAAGAGAACTCACTCTTTGGGGTTTATTTGATTAGTCTTAATAAAGGTATCACTCTTGTTATTTTGTAGTAATTTCACTGCCTTTTCTTGCCTTGTATGAATATGATGGTTTTTTAAAATATATTTTTAATTATACCTACACACATACACACAATACAACTGGAACGTTTTATTTCAACAAAGGTGTTTATGATTTTATCACTACTTTCACAAATGCTTGCAAAATGTAAATTATATATTGTTTTTATTTTAAAAACTGAAGGCAATCTACTAATCACCAGAAAAACTTACATTTTTCAATCAAGTATTTTTCTTTACCTAATAGAATTTTTCACCAGCAAAGCAAGCTTTATGTAACAGTTCTTTTGTATTTGTATTTATATTTCTTCTCCAACTGCAACCTTCTTAAACCTGTTCAATATCAATAACTTAAATGTTTTCCTAATTGTGTCAAATAATCTTCTTCAAGCCTCCAAGCAATCTTCTGGGGCAATTACTAGATTTAAAATGCTATTCAGATATTTCTGGAGGGATTTAATAAACAGGATAAAACATGCAATTAACAGATATTAACACAACAGTAATACCTATTATAACGTGCATTCCAAGTCTTGCCAAATTTTTCGCAGTATGGTAACCAATTCCTTTAATTCCTCCAGTTACTATGGCAACTTTACCATTTTGAAGAGGAAAAACTGTGCAAAAAGACAGAATAAAATAGTTAGGAACTGTTTTGCAACAAAAAACTGCTTATCAAAACAGAAGTATCACTGACCAATATTTCACGTGTTAATTACAATGATGCTCGTAGTTGCAACTGTTTCCCAGAGCAGTTTATATAGAAGAATCATAAGAAAAATATGAAATATTTTTTAAAACATCAATATTATCAAAATTGTTATTTTAAAAAATGTTACTCAATCACTTTTTAATAAATGGCCCAAAAACTGACTGTTACATCTGCAAATAATGGAATATATAATTTAATGTACCATTTCACTTGGTGATATTAATATACAATGCCACATTAAATAAAACCAGTGAACTACATTGAAAGGGTGTATTAGAAAAGATATTGGTCACCTTTACGAATAAAGGCAAATATATGTGTCCCAGGATAATGTTATAAGATCAAATCTGGGTCACCTATCGGGAGCAGATTTTTAGTCTTCTGAGCTTTCTGATTCGTTCTGGGAACTTCTTTCTACTTGAGTATGTACTTTGGGCTATTCTGTGAGTTGCATGGATATCAGCAAAGATGTTGTATCAGGGTTAAGGACAGTACTTAACATTGAGCTTGCAGGGATAATATCTCAGTTCTCCAGATCACGATAGTTACAGTAGGATTGTAATAAAATTCTTAAGTATTTAAATACTATTTATGTAAAAGTAATGTCAATTTCCAAGAGTGAAAAGAAACTTCTTAAGGACACCGTAACACTTCTCAGTTAATGCTAAGTTTAAAACTCACTGTAGCAAAAATGCAAGAACCCAAATGGATTACTTCATACACAATGGGGAAGTGGAAAGAATGGTGGCATTATCCGTACTGAGACACAGGTGTGTGGTAGGTACTCCTTTCTTGAATTTACTAAAGAATTCAGAAGCTGAATGAACATGGGGCCAGGTTTATAAGTTTTCCATTAGGGAAGGATATTGGGTACAGATTATTAGACTACTGTGTTTCCCAATAAACATGAAAAGATGCTGGTCAACAAAGGCAGCCAGTTTGTCTCACAGATTGAGTGAACCACACGGATTCACAATACGTTTCTGTGAAATATTGGTGGACTAGATTAGATTTTGGCCTGTTCCTTAACCATAGAATTTTCCTAATGGAAGAGTCAGTTGACCATTTTCTCATGTGGGTGTTTTGTGTACAGCTGGCTTATGGTAGCTAACAGATTGGTTAAATGATAATTTGGAGTCCTGCTATCTACAACTAAACAGTGATACTTTCTCTGTTCTTTTAGAATCTGAGCCATATGATCTGTATGGGTCAACAGCTTTGCTGAGCCTTTATTGTTTTCAATTCCAGCCTTTTAACTAACTCATTAACTCCATCCAGCCACTATATTCTCGGTGTTCACCTTCATCTTCCACTCATTCTCTGCCCCTTCATATACCAGCTTCTCCTACACATGGAACACTAGATTTTACAGTCAAAATCAATCTCTTAGAAACAGTTTTTTTCTTCAGAAAAAATGTTAGGATATCCCTTGCAATAGACTATTATTCACTTTTCTACTTCAATTTGTCTATCATGTCTTAAACCAATAATATAGCATATACAATAATAATATGCAAACATTCATATCTCCAATCAACTTATTTATAATATTACCAAAGAATTATCTGTGCATTTATTTTTAAATTCATTAAACAACCAAGAAAAAAATACTTATCTTACTCCCTAATATTAAATCACTAAAGATTACATTGATTTTTCATACATGCTTTATTTCTATCATATACCATATTCATCACACTCACTTTTCTTCCCTCTAGTTGTATAAAATGTTCCATAATTTATGTCAATGTTCTTTAACACACATTTAAAAAAGAATAAACCTTCTCCCATTCATACATTTCACAATGACGTACTAAAAGAAAACTTTTACCCTACATACTCCTTTGCCAGCTTTAAGCCATCAAGAATACATTCTGAGGCAAAAAAAAGGAGGAGTTATATATTAAGATCATTTAATGCACAATATCTGTCTATTTAAATAATTCCTTTACATCAGAAATATGATTAGATTACAAAGAAAATCAACTGCTTACATTTACAAATTACAGTATTTAATAAATAACTTTCATGATTAGCTTGGAGTTTGCAGATAATTTATTGATATAAAACATTGATAAATAGGTAAACATACTATCACAGTTAACATTCAGGTAATAGAAGAAAATATTTATAGCTCAGGGTTGATCTACAGTGGTTATTTGGCAGTACTATTTAATTTGATAGAGTACAGTATTATCACCCCCATGAAAAACAACAAAACTATTACTATAATCACAAATCACTTAAATTTGCTTCTTTCAATATGCTTTTTCATTATATGAAGATAATTAGATTATAATTTGAAAATTTTATAAATTCATAAATGTTCAATATTATCAGGGGGTGAAAAAGTTTAGTAGATAAACTAGAGCACATATATTGCAGACTGCATTGTGACAACCAGAAAAAAATTATTCCTATACCCTATTGTTATATTATAATACAGTACTTAATACATGAACTTAATTAGAATACATGATGAAACTCGTGGTTGTCATATAAAACTGAATGGCTAAGTTAGAGAGCAAATGTCTGTTTTGTTGCTTTTTCTGGGCTGGGTCCATTTCAAGACATTACTATAATCTCTGTCACTTTTAATTCTGTAAAGTTCAGACTTTATAAGAAAAGCATATAATTTATAACTCCAACTTTTTAAACTGCCCAGACATATATTTAATGTATTTGCTTAGTTCATGAACTATTTTAATTGCCCAGTTGATTCCAGGCAATGGAATTCAATATATACCAGAAAATAAAACTGCAAAACAAAATAACCAATTAAGTGATTAAAAATTTGGAAATGTTAAAAGCATATTTAACCCAAGGTTTTAGGAGATTATCTAAGAAAGAAAAAAAGCACAAATAAATGAGCAGCCCTCACAAGACTGCCTCATATCAATAATGGAGTATAAATGATACTAATTTCATTTTAAAAAGTAAAGCATCCCTAGAGTTCCCTTGATGATTACATGTATGAATATCATTTGCAATTTCCTTCTTCCTTCTTTTGTTTTGTTCTTTATTTTCCAATCTAGCATAAAATTCCCTTCTGGTTTCCCATCCATAAACTGCAGAGATAACTTAGATCAGACATTGCCACTTTCAGGAGGCAATAAGAGGCTTCACATCATAAACTGCTCAGAGTCATCTCAAACCATGAGATGGGTGGGTGGATGGATAAATAAATATCCCCCCTTATTTGTATTCTACTGAACATTGGAATTCAAGTGTTTCTGATAATACATGAAACAAAATATTAATTAGCCTACTTTCTAACAATACTGCAGATAAAGTAAATATTTTTTCTTTAAAAAATAAACCTACATTCAGAAAAAAATTATTCAAACTGACACAGATATTTGTCATCGAGCTATTTGTCTTAAAATTATGAACTGTGTTGAACACTTGAGGAAAAACAGTCTGCTCTCACTGAAGAATCAGACGTATTTTACAATAATCTTTGAAGAGAAGGATGAAACAAGACTGAAAAAAACAAACATAAGGATATTTTAATATTGAATGAGCACAACCTCTTTTATGTTGAAAAAGCAAATAAAATGTACTATATTACATTAGAAAAAAGCAGGAAGGATCTGAAGATCAAGGTACAAGACTTACCAGCATTTTTTACTTACAAGGAAAACAAATGAATAAAACACCACAGAGCTTCTCTACAAAGTGCCTTGATGAGAACATTTTAAAAAGCCTAAATTATTGTAGAAATAAACAAGCCATCTGAAATTTTTTTAATACCGGTAGATTGAGTTTGTATATGTAAAACTTCAAATCCTGTTTGTGTGAAAATGTTTTGCATGTGTTTTTGAACATAATAGATCAAGGGATCTATTACCATACACCCTTCCTTTGAAAATTAAGCCCATTTCACTTATTGTTAAAAGATGAAAGACATCAACTTACTATGGTTTTAGACCAGAACAGTGGCTGTTGAGCCATCTGAAGTCTAATAAATCAGGCAGCATGCAAATAGAAATACTGCTGCGTTAACAGATTTAGTAAACACCAACACCTATTCCTGTCATATTATTATGTCTATTCCAGTGGATATAGTGTGTTGCAGACAAAAAAAGGAAAATCTTGATGATAAGGACCAGAGAGTAAGTTGCAAGTATATGATCAATACAGAAGTTGTCTAACCAACATATGCCTCAGTAACAGCATAAAACATATTTGAATTCAAAACATGTTTGAACTTCCTTTGCTCTGCAGGATTGTACTCTCTGAGATTGAAATTATATTGTATCTACCATATGAGAATGCTAAAGATCGAACATTAAAGCAGGCTTGAAAGATTGTCAATCAGTACACTACAAGACAGTTTATCTGGATATTCCTCAGAAGGCAATAACCTTGCATTTGGCTTAAACTCTGGACATTCTGCCTTAATTATTTTGGCTGTAACCCTGAAACCATACTGGAGATCTTTGGAAGCCAAAAGCAAAAAAACAATTTTATATACAGGTGAAACCTGAAAAATTAGAATATCGTGCAAAAGTTAATTTATTTCAGTAATGCAACTTAAAAGGTGAACCTAATATATGACATAGACTCATTACATGTAAAGCAAGATAGTTCAAGCCGTGATTTGTCATAATTATGACTTATAGCTCATGAAAAGCCCAAATCCACAATCTCAGAAAATTAGAATATTGTGAAAAGGTTCAACATTCTAGGCTCAGTGTCCCACTCTAATCAGCTAATGAACCCATAACATCTGCAAAGGGTTCCTGAGCCTTTAAATGGTTTCTCAGTCTGGTTCAGCAGGAATCACAATCATGGGAAAAACTGCTGACCTGAAAGTTGTGCAGAAAACGATCATTGACACCCTCCATAAGGAGGGAGCCTCAAAATTGGTAATTGCAAAAGAAGTTGGATGTTCCCAAAGTGCTGTATCAAAGCACATTAATAGAAAGTTACGTGGAAAGGAAAAGTGTGGAAGAAAAAGGTGCACAAGCAGCAGGGATGACCTCAGCCTGGAGAGGATTGTCAGGAAAAGACCATTCAAAAGTGTTGGGGACTTTCACAAGGAGTGGACTGACGCTGGAGTCAGTGCATCAAGAGCCACCACACACAGACAGATGCTGGACATGGGCTTCAAATGTCATAGTCCTTTTGTCAAGCCGCTCCTGAACAACAAATGTTAGAAGCTTCTTACCTGGGCTAAAGAAAAACAGACCTGGTCTGTTGCTCAGTGGTCCAAAGTCCTCTTTTCTGATGAGAGCAACTTTTGCATCTTATTTGGAAACCAAGGACCCAGAGTCTTGAGGAAGAATGGAGAGGTGCACATTGCAAGATGCTTGAAGTCCAGTGTGCAGTTTCCAGTCTGTGTTGATTTGGGGAGCCATGTCATCTGCTGGTGTTGGTCCACTGTGCTTCATTAAGTCCAGGGTCAACGCAGCCATCTACCAGGAGATTTTGGAGCACTTCATGCTTCCTTCCGCAGACGAGCTTTATGGGGATGCTGACTTCATTTTCCAGCAGGACTTGGCACCTGCCCACACTGCACAGAGCACCAAAACCTGGTTCAGTGACCGTGGGATTACTGTGCTTGATTGGCCAGCAAACTCGCCTGACCTGAACCCCACAGAGAGTCTATGGGGCATTGCCAAGAGAAAGATGAGAGACATGAGACCAAACAATGCAGAAGAGCTGAAGGCCGCTATTGAAGCATCCTAGTCTTCCATAACACCTCAGCAGTGCCACAGGCTGATAGCTTCCATTCCACTCCGCATTGAGGCAGTAATTGCTGCAAAAGGGGCCCAAACCAAGTAGAGTACATATGCATGTTTATACTTTTCAGAGGTCCGATATTGTTCTATGTACAATCCTTGTTTTATTGATTGCATGTAATATTGTAATTTTCTGAGATTGTGGATGTGGGGTTTTCATGAGCTGTAAGCCATAATCATCACAATTATGGCAAATCACGGCTTAAACTATCTTGCTTTGCATGTAATGAGTCTATCTCATATATTAGTTTCACCTTTTAAGTTGCATTACTGAAATAAATGAACTTTTGCACGATATTCTAATTTTTCGAGTTTCACCTGTATTAAAGATAAAACACTGGTGTAAAATACAAGACAATTTTCAGTCTATATATATGCATGTTTTTCTTCTAATAGGCACGATAGGGAGGGAGGGACAGGGAGGGAAGGAAGGAGGGAGCAGTAAACGTGTAGTCATTCATTTATTTTTCCATATTTGTGATACAGGTATCTGCCAATCTAAAGATCAGCTAGGCTCACAGATGCAGGTACAGTACATGCCCATGTTGTAAAGACACACAAGAAACAGAGATTTCTTGTAATTAGATGTAACTTTTACACATGGCCCAATTTTTAGCCAGTAATCAGGTAGTGATACGATTTTTGTGGCTTCATTTGTTATCTGTCAGAGATAATCTAGATCAGCATCCAATTTCCAATGTATATTTTATCACTATTGACACCAAGGCTAATTCTGAAACATACAATGCAGGAAGGTCCACCAAACACCTGAATGCTACAAACATTTGTGCAAGCCTTATATTACTCTGAGACAAAGAAAAGTTGTGATTTTAAGTGAGTAATGTCCGCGACCACGTGAGCCTTCCTTAAAACTCCTTTTAAATAACTGAAAACCCAAAAAGCAACAGTGTCCCAAAAATCAGGCTCCAAATACAATTTATTATGAATTGGACATTGGTGAAGAGGTATTTTATTCAGTTAAAATCTTAAGAAAACTTTTTGTGATTTTTAATTCAAAATGTTTATTAAAAATGAAGTATGGTTAAAAAATACATAATAAAAGTGGAAAGACAGAAATAGTATGATTTAGTACAATTTACTAAATATTGTAGTTTCTATCATAATCAACTAGAAATATAAAGGCTCATAAATTCAAAATACATTTTGTATGGTGACAAGTTTTCTTTCATTTTTTTCCAATTACAGTTGGAATTTTTGAAATGTGATAAACTTTTAAAGATTAGATTTCCTCAGAAAATATTGTATGAAAAAAAATCTATACCCACTTAGAATGGTAAGATTATTGAACAATTGAAAGTTATACATTTCGCCTGCTATCTAAAGATGTACTAGCTACTAATACTGTGACTGTATAACTAAAAGGTTAAAGTCTACTTTATTCTATAAAATTTGCATTTCCAATTATATTTTTAATGTGTCCCATGTTGAAATATAAAATAAATACATGTTAGATGTATTCTAACATGTGCAGACTTTTCTTTCTTTCTTTCCTAGGCATCTAAGACCTCAAAGGTTTTCCAGAATAGCCATGGCTATGCAGGTTACACCTGTCAATACCTCCTTAAAGAAGCTTTGTGATTATAGGTTGACTAATGATCAAGTGCCTTACTTCTCTACTTATCAACTCTTATTTATAAGCGTACCTTCCAGGGAAGACTTTGTTATGTTGGTGACATAAACTGATACACTCAAACCTATGTGTCATAGCATTCTGTAAGGGTCCCTTTCCAGGGTTATGGGAGATGATGATCAACAGCTTTGAAGGCGGAAGAGGGCTTTATGCCCCAACGGCATATAAAACGGTAGAACCATCTTCTAGGAGAAGGGAAACTCTGATTTCAAACCTCCACTGCCGTGGCTATATCTATTATTGGTAAAGGCTTCAGGAGCCAACTTCAAGGCAAAATCTGGACCCGGAGTCCCAGAAGCAGTTTGTGACTATGTACAATCCCGTTCTGGTAACTCCTGTAGCGCAGCTGGAACTAATCATATCAGTTCTGTCATTCCAGTAGACTATTTCAATTATATGGAGAGGGGAGAATCTGCTGCTTGGGTAACAGTTTATCCTCCATATTAAATTACCCAGGTCTTGTGCTCTGGAGAGGACATTCCAGCTTTGCATGCAGCACTGAAACAACACGGGAAGTGGCAGTTACCGGTTTCATAGCACGATACCATGATCTCCTGAGGCTGAAGGATGCCAATTCAATGTGTCATATCTCAAAACTCTTCTATGCTGCTTTTCTACATAAAGTAGTTAATCATTTCTGGCAAAAAGCATAAATATGGGAAGCATTCAAGAACTGTTTATGTTGAATGTATCTTTAACAATAAATGGTACCTCAAAAAAAGGATAGCATTAAATTAGAACTAAAACAAAAGATTATGGACCTAGCAGAGAAATTCCAACTTTAAAACAGTGTTATTTCAAAAAGATTTTCTAAGTCTATCCTTCCACAGCTTGGAAATTCTCATGTATGAAGGCAACCACTCCAGCAATACACCCATTGCTTAGAACAGATGTCTGAAGCACTCTACAAATGTCTAGAACATTAATTTTAACACTTATAAGCAAAAAATATACCATGTTTGAATGACAGGAGATGCCATGATATTGAACAAGAAGCTAGTAGTGGAAGCTGGTAAATTTCATGTCAGGTATGACATAAGAACTATTACCATTTGGCACAAATGTAACAAAAGTTTAGGATTTATGGAATAAATTAGCAAAGCAACTATGTCAATGTGATACATCTGGTATGATAACTAGAAACATTATGACACTTGACAGTTTTCTTGAAGGTACAAATGAAAAAAGTACTCCTTCTAAGGTTTGCATACGGCTAGTACAAGATACAAAACTAATGACTTGTAACAGTATGATGATATAATTCAACTTCATATTCGTTTGCTGATAGAGCAACCTTAATATTTCTTGCCATTGTATTAATCTTGGAAAGGTTACAATTCAGTTTATAGTACAGATAACAACATTGCTCCATCATTATTCTTTATCACAAACACAATATGGAGCTCCTGAAAAGAATATTAAAATTCAGCTACATCTGAAAGTCTACACCAGAGGTCTTCAAACTTGGCAACTTTAAGACTTGTGGACTTCAACTCCCAGAATTCTCTAGCTATGCTGGCTGGAGAATTCTGGGAGTTGAAGTCCACAAGTCTTAAAGTTGCCAAGTTTGAGGACTCCTGGTCTACAGGTTCCTACAGCTGCATTGTAGCATGGCATACCCAGTACATGTGCCAAGATTTCACTATAAATAAAAATAAAAATCCTAACCTTTCTATTTCAGGACAATTAACAACAAATAAATAATCTGGTTGTCAGAAATAACACATGAATCTATTAAACATTAGATCCTTCACATAGTTCATCTCTGAAAATTTGACCTTCAAAAAGCTTTAAATATTTAAATATGTGAACACTTATATCAAAACTTTTAAAAATAAAAAACCTACATCAAAAACACTTTGCATGTTGTCCTTAAGTTCGGTTTGCTGAAAATATTGTTTAAAAAGATTGTTTAACAGGTGACTAACCAAATGTTTATAAATGACTATTTATACATCCTATTTCTAAATCTTAAATCAATGATAAAATATATCTGTAGCTTTACGTAACTCTATACTTACAACTGTTGTGCCAGTTTGTATTCTTGAATCATAAATCACAACCATGATCCATACATTTAGACTCACATATTTCACATACAAAACCTATCTATGTTGAAGTTGTTCAATATGTACATTTTTAAGAGTTTTTTTTTCAATTTGGCAATTTAAGACCATTAGCTTTTGTCTGAAAGTCTATTGCTTCTACATGAAGCCATTATCACACATATTTAAAGAACTGCTGCTCCCGTTTGCTGTATTACTTGAATTAATCACATGATCCTGTTCCAATCCCCACTCTCCTTCATCCTCTTCATCAGGTTCGGCTTCAGATCCACTATGAGTGTTCTCATACAGAAAAACTTGCTCATCTATGTGAGCTGGGGCTAGCCGATTTCTTTTAGCACTAACAACATTGGCTGAAGAACTAAAAAGACGTTCTGGAAAGATCCTTGTAGCTACAATGCACCAGTATTTCTGAAGCACCTTTGGCAAAACAGGAAACAAAGTAAGTCTATCAGACCACCACTTGAGTGGATCTTCACTGAGCCCAAGGACTTTCTGTGACTTGAAATTACTCAGTTCCTCAATAATCTGAGCATGCCATTCCTCTTGATCTTCAACACCCCCTTTCTGGCAAAATATTTCTGCAAGCATATTATTGATAGCACTAGTAGGAGGAGGCGTAGAAGCAATTGCCCCTTTTTTCACTGGTGGCTCTTCTGACACTGCAAACAATTCTTCTTCAGGCCTCGAAGTATTATCTTTTATTTTTTCTAGGATACTTTTTGCTTCCTCCAACACTCTGTTCTCAACCTGTTGTTTTTCAAATGTCGAAAGAAAAGGCAATTTCTTGTATCTTGGATCTAAGAAAGTTGCAACATTGAGAAACATATCTATCTCAGGATTATGCTGATATGTTGCTGATAGTTCCTTGGCAATCACCTCTTTTGCCATGCTTATTTCTTTTAAGTCATTTTCTTTTATACTTAAAGTTGTATTTAAAAGCATGTGAAGAAGAGGTTTCACCATGCTTATTCTTGGGTACTTGGAAGCAGATATCATCTCAGCTACCTGCTTGAATGGCTGAAGCAAATCCACCAGCCCTTCAACTGTATTCCATTCATTAGCTTCCAGCATCAGGTGGTGATTATTGCTATCTTCCACAAGTACTGCAGCAATGACAAATTGTTGCTCTTTAAGACACTGCAGCATGGCAAGTGTGCTGCCCCACCAGGAAACACGATCACTCACAAGCATGCAATGTGAACTATTCTGCTGTTGCTGCTTCTCACTCAACATGTACATGGCTACTGCAGACTGCTGAAAATATTCCACCAGTTTTCGACATCTAGATAGGACACTACTCAATTTAGGAAGCTGAAAAGCTTGCTGGAAACCTGCATCGAAAGTCTGACCTAAGCATGGCATCTGTACTGAAATGTCCAAAAGAGAGCAAGCTTTCACTATGTCTTTCCCGTTGTCCGTGGTAGCCCCAAAAACTTTGGCATTAATTTCCCACTCAATGAATATCTCATACAAGACTCTTGCAATTGTCTCTGCAGTGTTTTCCTCTGGCACTTCAAATGTTTTTAGGCAACGAGAATTAATAGCCAAGCTTCCAGAAGAACCAGTACTAAGAAAATGAACAGACAATGTCACATAGGATCTATTCTGACTATAACTTCTCCATATATCAGTTGATATGCCACACCACGGATTGTCTGTCAATTCTTTTAACACAATCTCTCTAACAGCAATGTATTTTTCAGGAATTCCTTTTGTGCAGAAGTACTTTCTGCAAGGAAGTTCATATCTGGGGTCAGCTGTTCTTAAGAGACTCTTAAATGTGGGTTCATCAACAATAGATGGGGGATGTAATCCTTCACAGATTAAACTAATCACTGCTGAGGTCAGCTCTTGATGCTTTTTATTCTCATAATTGTGATTTGTTTTCATAATTAAGTTGTCCTGAACAACCTGCTGAGATGATTCAGGCTTCAGTTTTGAAAATGCAGTTGCAAAAGCCTCTCTCATTTGCTCAGTGTTGCTTTTCACAAATTCACAAAATTCATCTGGGTGATTCTTTTCAAGATGGTAAGAGAGGTTGGATGTATTTCCTGAATAGGCAATCTGTGCCATGCAAATGCGGCAGTAGATCTTCTTCCATTGCAATATACATCCCTCTGCATTGGTGTCAAAGCCAAAGTACTTCCATACTTTACTCTTTGCTCTCGGATGGGCCACTAACTTTAGGTCTGATGGGGAACTTTCCAAAGTTTTATTCTCCATTGCTTCTCAGCCACTGGCCCAACCCCTTTTGATTGTTCACTCATTAATGAGCACCTGATAAAGGCAGATTAACATAATATGAGAAAACACTGGTTTCAAATTAATGCTTCAATAAATACAGAAAACCTACCTTATTAATAACAATATTGGAATGTTCCTCTTTGGAAACTGAATGCACACAATACATGTTTTGCAAGTCGCAGTCAGATTTCATGACAAAACATTGGACCAAACTTAACTGTCTTCTGGGCAACTATGTGCTAACATTTTTTTTATTTTTTTAATAAAATTTATAGCGGTCTGTTTTACCTCAAGGCAATTTTGGGCAGATTACATGCACAGTATTATAAATAGAACAAGTGCCATAGCCTCGATTGCATATGTTTAATTTAAATATGCAGAGAACAGGTCATTACAACAAGCTTTTGCATCCAAGGATACAATAAAATGTTATCCAGTCCTTTCAACACTGAATAAATTCTCATCTCTGATGCAATCTCTGCATACCAGAAAGAATAGTTTGCTTTCCAAGTTCAAGTGTCAGAAAACTTCTACAGAGGATAATTCCAGAAATAGCTGCCTTTTCCCCCTGTACCATGAATAAGAATGTATTAGGGATTGATCATAAGAAATACTCACCATGATTAGTGAATACTGAGATCCTAAACACATAGTACTGCTTAAGGCAGTGAGCAAGGAAGCTTCTGATAAACTGAGAATTTGTGAAATTTTTCCCTTTTTGAAACTTTCCAATTGCCATAAGCATGGATGTATTATTATGAATATGCTTGAATAGTTCTATTATATTTTTTGATATTTCACAGCATTAACAAATGTAACAGACACACTAGCAGCATTTTAATGAACAGAATTCGGAAGACCATTTGTTGAAAGTTCATCTAGAATCTAACTCAAAACAATGCCTTGTGTTACTGAGAAGTTTATTAGAAATATGAGTTGTGCTGTTACTAATTATGATGCTTTCAGAAATTCAGTTCTATAAAGTTGCCTCAATATGTCCAAATGTGTGAACTACTCTCTGTGGCTAGTAGTAGTTTGAACTGTTTGCTTTATTTAATGCTCATATGAATAAGCAAGATGGTTAAAATTCTACAAACAAGAAGTTTAAACAGAAAATTTAAAAATTCCTCTAAATGGTCACACAGTTCTCCCCATAATTTTTTTTTTGCAGCACTATATCCCGAATTAACATCATGGGAGATGGGGTGCATTCAACCAGTGATAGGTGATCAAAAAAGCCAAACCGGACTGGATCTGGTTATAGTCAGAAGGGGAAACTACTACAAAATCTAAGAGCTAAGGAGCTAAAAGCTATATTTAATAATTGAAAACAAATTGACTACAATAATTAGAAACTACTTTTATTATTTTCATAGGATATCCTAAGAAATTTCTAAAAGACATGTTTAGCCTTTATTTTAAACTGTAATAAATTCATCTGAAATAAATTGTACAGTTAGTCCTCAACTTACAACCACAACTTAACCCAGAATTTATGTTGCTAAGTGAAAAATTTCTTAAATGAATTTTGCAGCTCATTTTATGACTTTTACGACTTATTTTAAAAAATTTCTTGCCACATTTGCTAAGTGAGTCACTGCAGTTGTTAAATTAATGACATAGTTGTTAAATGTATATGGCTTTCCCATTGACTCTGCTTGTCAGAAGGTCGCAAAAGATGGTCACATAATTCCAGGACACTGCAACTGTCATAAACATGAACCAGTTGTCAAGCACCTGAATGTAAATCGAGTGACCATGGGAATGGTGCAACAGTCATAAGTGTGAAAAATGGTCATAAGTCACTTTTTTCAGTGCTACTGTAACCAAACGGTCCCTAAATGAACTGTTGTAAGTCAAGGACTACCTATAATGCAAAGTGTGTATGTATTGATCTAAATTCTCTAATCAGTTTTGGGTAGCTCATTAGTTTTGGGTATCATTTGCATAACTAGTAACTGTGCATTTTCCATAAAGGTTTATATGTCTCTCAACAAATAACATACAGAAGCATACACCACAAAAAGAGCAGAGGTGGTACAATGGTTAGAACGCAGTACTACAGGTTAACTCATTGCTCATTCCAGGAGTTCAATTCTGATCCACTCAAGGTTGACTCAGCCTTCCATCCTTCTGAGGCCAATAAAATGAGGACCCAGATTGTTGGCAGTAATATCCTGACTCTGTAAACTGCTTAGAAAGGGTTGTAAACACTATGAAGCGGTATATAAGTGCTATTGCTTTGCAGTTAAAATCAATGGTTTGTAAAATTTAATGAGTTATTGTTGTGTACAAAGAAAAGTATATATGACACACACACACACACACACACATATATATATATATATATATATATATATATATATATATACACACACACGTAAATATGTAAGATTGTTTGTACTCAGTCTTTGTTACTGAAAACGGCAAATATCATTTTGCACAAATGCCCAGACTTAAGTATGCAAGTTACTTTATCTCTCATTTACATTGTCCAAAAATATAGCTCAAGAGAAAGGAAAAACTGCACTATTTAGTTTTTCTAGCTGAAGAGATTCATTCTCACTGTCATCTTTAAAGACTTCTCCTAAATGACACATCTGCAGCTAATAAGGAGGGCATGGCTATTATCAAAATTCTTCCTGGGTATTTGTAATTATTCTGCTCTAATACATGAATCGAAAGAGGAAAACAGATGTTTTAGTTTGCTTTTTTAGAAGTTATAACCAGCATCACAGCTGGCAGTTCATAAACTACTTGATAAATTGGAACCAATCCAGCATTTCCAAACAATAGCTGTCAGTAGCATTTCTGTTGACAAAATTTACCTGACAGATAACTAATATTACAGTAATAATAAATGCGTGTTGTAAAGCATATGGATATTAAGGGCCCAAAGGATCTCCATTAGATCCTTTGTGCCCTACAACCACAGCAAGTTCTCTAATAATAAAGACTATTCTTTGTCTTCCTTCAATAAGAAAATGAAGGTTCAATGCTCAGTCTTTCTTCCTTTTAAATTAAGTTAAAATTGATTCATCTTCCCTGATAAAACCAAAAACCCAAAATTTGAAATTTGAAGGCAGAATTTAGAGTAAGGTAGCAAGCCAGCAGGGAACAAATAAGTTGAAACTTATATTTATAATTTTAATTCTATCAAATTATAGCCTTTCATCTATGAAGTTTTAGAAAAGAATATTGCACTTTCAGAAAGAAGGGTGAAAAATGAACATTAGCACTTGATCTGATTAGCTACCTAAGCAATAAGAGACAGTGAAGACTGATGGATAGAACTATTTAAAAAGGGTGATTTGATTTGCTCCTTTCACACATCAGGTGAGCTTCCTCCTTCCTCACCTCAGAGACAAAGAGGTGCTACAGTTGTTTTTTCTCAATTGTAAAAGTTTTAGTCCTTTCTTAGTAAATCTTTTATTGTTGTCAATGATTTGGAATCAAAAGGAGTAATGTTATCCATCTTAGTGCCCAACTTTGAAAAATGTTTGAAACGGACAGAGAAGTAGTTTTTAAAATTTCCTTGTAAGGAGTAATTAAGCCAGTATAATCACATAAGGCACAGGCGTAGAGTTGTAATTGCAGGAATGTTCTTATCTGGATGGCACACCTCAGGTAATGAATGTTTATAAAGCAAATACAACTCAGGCAAACAAAGTTACTCATCTAAAGGAAGATTAGAGAGAGGAAATAAACATATGTTGGACTTTGACTGGAGATCATTAATTGTGTTAGTTACTATGCTGAACATTAACGAAAATTAAGCAATAACCAAAGTTAACCAATGTTAGAGGATTACTAAAAATGTGTATAAATGCAAGAACAGACTCCAATAAAGTTCATCATGATTCAGTTGATCATGATCAAACACCTCGACTGTCTTGTCATTACAACACACAGGTGCTTGCCTTCAACAAAATTCTATAGCCTGAATAGATCTAATTTGTTTTTAGTTTCAAATCCAGGGAAGAGACAAATCATGGCATTCAGTAAATTCATACACCATAGACCCAGGGATTACAAAACAACCATATCAAAATTTGTTCTCAGTTTATCTTCTCTATATACTAAGATAATTATGCTTTTAAGATAAAATAAGGATAGGTCTCATAAAGATTTCTAAACTATATGTTGAAATTAAAATGTTAAACATTCCATATTTAGATTAAATGCAACATAAATGTATTACCAAAACACTTTTTAATGAAAGTGAAAAAATATTCAGGTGTGCCCTAGACCAGGGTTGTCAAACTCAATTTTATGAGGGCCCCATTAGGGTTGTATTTGACCTCAGGAGCGCCAGGGAGGCATGGCCAGCTCAATGTCACTCATGTCAGGGGTACTTGTGGTGGCCCGAGCATTCTGCCAGAGAAAACAGGCTCCTGAGGACTGGTCCTTCGCTGTTTTCAGGCCAGATCTAAGCACCCCACAGGTCTTGAATTTCACGCCCCTGGCCAGATGATCAGTGATATACTAGACCAAAATCAACACATTTCACTCAACCTAACTTGGTGGAATCTGGAGTCTACATGTTAATTTAAATGAAATCTAAAAAAACAGTGTAGAGTGTCTGTAAAAATAACACAATCTGGTTTATCTGTCTATCCAGTATACACTTTCTCTAAGCAAGGCGGTTACAAATCATTTACCTACAGATATTTTAAAATCCTGAAACTCTAGGGTGCAAAAGAAGTTAAAAAAAAAGCTTACACTGAATAGATTATGACAACCTAGAAAAAAACAAAAGCAAAGGAGTTAAGCTTTCTTATTCGGTAGAAGGTGACCAGATGTAAACCAGCTTAAACTATATTGTGGATGGGTAAAATTACTGATCTCAACCACAGAATACTGTAGTCTATACAAAGACAATTACATCAATTGCACCTGTATAGATCAAAAGCAATTCTGGTGTGTCTTATTTAAACTATTTTAAGTGGCGTTTTAGTGCAAAATTTAAATATTGTTTTAGG